TATATTATAATGCACAAAGGTAGGAACAACATCAAATTAAATGACATTACGCTATATAAAAACAAAAAATAGTAAAACAACACATCAGAACAATAACAATTTTTAAAAATTAACACACCAACAAATTAAAACACAAAAAAGAAGGAAAACTAAAAGAGAAACAGCAATAGAAATAGTATGTAATGTACTTAGATCTATATTCTTCAAGTATAAAATAACAAATCAATGTGGTGTCAACAAGTGAGAAAGAGACAAAGTGAAGCTGAAGTGAAAATAACCTTTCTTTCTGTTTATTTTCCTTTTCTTTTTTTCTTTTCTTTTCTCTTTTTATATGTTTATTCCCTAGCAGTGGTTTTTTTTTTGTTTGTTTTTTTGAAAAATGCAAAAATCGCGAAGAGACCAAAAAATGCCTAAAATCGCGTCAAACGCAGATCTATGCTAGATAGATAAAGTTGTCCGAATCTCTCTGACGGTAAGGATTTTACCATGAGCTGAAGGTCCGAAATGAGGAAGGAAGCGAGGCATGCAAAACAAAGAGAAAGCTGAAAACTGAACCATCTACATCAGTGGTTTTCAAAGTGGGCGCTACCGCCCCCACCCCCAGGGGGGCGGTGGCGACAGTTTGGGGGGGGGGGGGCGCTGTGGCGAAATTGGGCGATTGGGGGGCGCTAGTGAGCGTCAAGGGGGCAGTGTGAAATTTTCGTGAAAAGCAAAAAAAAAAGGTGGGAAAGAAGCCACACACAAAAAAAAAAACTTTTACGTGTAACATTTCAAGAAAGCTTAGGCATAGTTTACAATACTACTAGTATTACTACTTAAAACTAAGAGAACTTTCTTTCCCAGTTGCAAAGACCATAAAAAGAGGATTCATCCCGACAAATCTGACAAAGATCTGGCATACTTCAAAAACCCTAAGGATCAATTTTCAGAAACTAATAACAGTTAAATCGATGTTTGCAGCCAACGTCGATCAAGCTGATGAAGGCTTACGAGCAACATTATAATTTATTACTGAATTTCAGAGGCAGTCAAACCCCATACTATTGGTCAAGACCTCATAATTACTACCAGCGATCAGAGAGGTGGTCAGCACAGTCCTGCACCGTGCCCCGGTGCCTGTGTTGAAAGTTCTCCCACTAGGTGACAATACCGTTCAAAAACATATTGACGAGATGTCAGCATAATAATATTATGATGAGGAATCATTGTGCAAAAGGCTTAAGTTTAAGGGACGTGAGTTCAGTCTTCATCTGGATATCGGTTCATAGAGGGTGAGGAAATAATACAAGAATTGTTATTTGCGAAAATGTTGGAAACATACCAAAGGCAAGTCCATTTTCAAAGTGATCCAAGATTTTTTCGAGGAGAAACAGATCCCTCTGACTAATGTAGTTGCCTGTGCAACAGATGGAGCACCGTCAATGACAGGTCGTTACCTTGGATGTACGAGCTTCTTGAAGAAATCAGTCACTGAAGTACTTACTGTTCACTGTGTCATTCACAGACAGAATTTGGTGGCAAAAAAACCTGAGTGACAGCCTGCGTTACACACAGACCATTGTAATCTAGTGTTTGAACAAGATCAAAGCCAAAGCTTTGAATTCGAGATTATTCCAACAATTATACATGACAATGATGAGGACTTTCTATGCTTACATTTGCACATTGAAGTCCGGTGGCTCTCAAAAGGAAACTGTTTAACACGATTGTTCTGCCTGTTTGACTCAGAGCTGAGTTTTCTTCAAGAAACAGACAGTGATCTCTGTAATAAACTGAAAGAACACAAGAACAACACTGCGTTCCTCACAGGTATTTTCACAAAGTTCAACCAGTTCAGCTTGCAGCTGCAGGGGGATGGCACCAACCTGATCACAAGGCGAAATCCATGCTTTCGTCATTCTTGTCAGATTTGGACATTTTTCCGCCGAACGATTGGCAGAAGAGAATTTGCTCAATTTCCAAGCTTGGCGGAGACACTGAAAGAAGGGCGCGTGTCTGACGAGGAACTAGAAATATTATACCTACCACCTCAGAGGTTTCCATGCTAATATGAAGACAAGGGTTACTTTTTTTAAAAACTGGAAATTGTAGACTGGGGTACTGGACCCCCCCCCCCCCCCCCCCCCCCCATTCAACACTGAAACAAATGGTAACTTGCCAGTAGCAATTGAAGAAGAGCTTCTGACAATGAAAAGTGACTTTGAAATTTAAAAAATTGTTCAAGAAGTCGTACCAGTCATTCTGGGTGAAAACGGTTGAGCAAGACAAATTATCCCTCCTTGTGGGAAAAGTTGCTGTTCATCGCTTTTCCCACATCATTTCTTGTAGAAATGGTATTCAGTACAGTGACAAGGTTGCTGACGATCATAGAGCGTGGTGATTTGCGTCTGCTACTACCCAATCTGAAACCTGACGTTGATAAGTTGGTTTCGTCTCACCAGGTCCATCCACCCCATTAGAGCAGTGTCACTGACTTTTGTATGTGTATTATGTGGATGTGGTGCCACTGCTGATGAAGCTGATGTTAATGGTAATGATGATGATGATGACGATGATTGTGATAACAGACAAAGATCCATGCATACATGTACTTTTTCTTTCTTGTGGTTTCTCATATTTGAATAACAATATATATTTTTATGTTCTGCAATGGAGATATTTGATATACAAGCCACAGGCCACTTTATTGCAGCACGTTGGTGGAAAAAACGTTTCATAAAGATAATGCCAATCTGTTTTCACACCAATGATCACTGATTTTCTTGCGTTTTGTTTCTTCATAAAATGTAATATGTGATAATACATGACATGTATTACTTTTATGACCCTGGTCATTAAATACCGACGACAACTAGATCTATACGCATAAAATTACAGCATTGTGTTCTCAATGCACTTGCATAATATTGAAGACAAAATGTCATTTATTATCTCTCGTACCGGTACACGCATAACTTAGATTCTATAAAGTGACCCAAGTAATGTTTCTATTCAGAACCAAATCATTAGAATTTAGGCACGTTGTTTTGTACCCTGCTGTTTGAGCTCTCTCTATATTTGTGATTGTAGGCCTATGCATGTTGATATGTCAGATTGGTGGGCGGGGCGGAGTAGGGTGCCGCTGGGACTCGGCTGGGTGAAAAAGGGGGCGGTGGGCGAAAAAAGTTTGAAAACCACTGAATCTAGATTCTAGATCGACCTCGTTCCTCAAAGTGCTTATTTATTCATTTATTATATGTTTATCTTTGTTTTAATGAGCACGCTCTCTAGGTGTAGAATATAAATTATAATAGATCTAATCGTATTTTTTTAAACAAATGCGGCGTTTGTTTATTTTATTTAGGAACGGTAAAAAGCACGTTGATGAGCTGATCGTGGATGCATAATTTTATATGTAGATTCTAATGACTAATAGTTAGTAATAATAGTAATAGGCGAATACTGGGTTCGCTGGCTGGCGTGCCTCGCCAGTAGGCCTAACGCGCAGACGAAGACGACTTCGCGAACTGATTCGGCCCGCGGACAAGGGAACAGAGACGCTAGCCTACGTTAGTCCTTTTACTAGGCTATAGTTTTTGGTACATTGTATGACGTGGCAAATTTTGCTGGTTGGCGTATGTATTAGCCTACAACATTGGCCTACAACCAAGGAGTTTAGAACTAATGGAGCCTCCTCTCTCTCTCTTCGCGGCGCCACGAGCAGTACGCCGCGGTGGGGGTCAAATATGGCCGCCGAGTGTGGGCTAAATCTCGAACTGTGGCGGTTCTTTTTATAGAATCTTATCGGGCTGGGCCACGTTGTGGGGGTAGGCGGGGTGGGGGAATGCACACAAGGAAGAGGGGATGGAGCAGGGATGAAAGAGGAGGGGCGGGCCTTGGGAAGGGACGAAGGAGAATGGGAAAAATTAAATAAAAAAGAGGGAGAGAGAGAGAGAGAGAGAGAGAGAGAGAGAGAGAGAGAGAGAGGGAGAGAGAGAGAGAGAGAGAGAGAGAGAGAGAGAGAGAGAGAGAGAGAGAGAGAGAGAGAGAGAGAGAGAGAGTGTGTGTAATTCACTAAGCCTTGCAAAGGGGAGGGGGTGGACTGGTATGTAAGCCTTAGTCAAGAGGTAGATCTATCGGCTACAAGCAATTTATGCTGGGGTGAAATCAATCATTGCTATTGGATGGGAGACGGTTAGATTAAATAACGTGGTTACGAATTCAGTTTAGTTACGGTAAGGTGCAGGTCCAAATATATAATTACAACGTCTTAACTGTACTTTTGGTTTTACTTTCACACTTTCAGTAGACGTAACAAGAACCACTTGCATTTAGCCTATTCTTCTGTGATGATTTAATTTCAGCACTACGTGTGAAATATTATTTTATTAGGCTTTATGCGTCTACACACACACACACACACACACACACACACACACACACACACACACACACACACACACGCACACGCACACACACACACATATATATATATATATATAATATTATAATATATATATATATATAATTGTGCCTTCATACAAACCATACAACTTGGTGTAAACATACACTTGCATCTTGTATAAAATCAAATAGCCAGTCTCTAAACTAATACGAATTATGATAGATTTAGATCCAACCTACACAAAATAGTGAAATGTTCAGGAACATCTTATCTATCACGCGGCACTTATAATTAATGTACATGTAATTATATTTTTATAACTCCAATGACATGTGTGTGTGTGTGTGTGTGTGTGTGTGTGTGTGTGTGTGTGTGTGTGTGTGTGTGTGTGTGTGTGTGTGTGTGTGTGTGTGTACATTGTCCATGTACAACATGTATTTTAAAAAAATTATTGTCTAAGTAAATCATGTACCTCTAGGAAAAATCAAACAACACTTAACTCCTTACCAGTACCAGGTTACAGAAGGCCGTTTCATATATATATATATACAGTGTAATAAAATATTAGTATTATTAGCTTAGCCTGTTAGTGTTAGTTAGACTTAGACAATCATACCTGGGTACGAACAGGGGTCGATGATTCTGCAAAAGAAAATTTCAGCTCCTGGTTTGAATCTCGTCTCCAGTTCAGGCAAAGACCAGATCTCTACCACAATGAAGGAGAAAAGGACGTGAGGGTAGCACGTAGTAACGGACTAATCTATATTATAATTATACACATGACAGGCCTTATCAGTTACAATGACGTAACCAGTAGCCAAGCAGAAGAACACGATAGAAAGAATACCAGTTGAACTACAACTAAATATAATAATAATAATAATATATAACATTTATAGAGCGCATTTCCAAAAAAAGTAGCTCAATGCGCTTTACATTGGAATACCCATTTTTCAAAAACCTTTCTTACTACTTCCTTTCTTCTCACGCAATATACATTAATGCACACACACACACACACACACACACACACACACACACACACACACACACACACACACACACACACACACACACACACACAGAGACTATTTTCATCCAGACATAGGAAAAGAACAAATATAATGAAAGCTAACGTTAAAAGCTTATGAAGGATAGGCCTGTAGGAACAGAAAATGTTTAAGATGTCTTTTGAAGCTATCAAGTGTTCTTATTTGTCTTAGTTTCATGGGTAATCTGTTCCACATAAATGGACCAAGATATGAGAAAGATCTCTCTCCATATGATTTGTATGATTTTACAGGTGTCACAAGTAGGGTGTTATCGTTCGATGATCTTAGGTTTCTCCCTGGTTTATATATACTGATAAGTTCTTGCAGATAAAAAGGAGCAGTTTTATTTACACATTTGAAACACATGACGCAGATTTTAAATATTATTCGTTCTTTTACAGGGAGCCAATGCAGTTCTTTTAATAATGGAGTGACATGGTCTCGTTTTTTAGATCTTGTTATCAGTCTAGCGGCATTGTTTTGAATTACTTGTAAACGATTCAAATATTTGTTGTTCAGACCTGCTAGGAGTGAGTTACAATAGTCTAATCTAGATAGGATAAGAGATGTTACCAGTGTTTTTGTGGTCTCTTCGCTTAAGTACTTTCGAACTAGGCCTATCCTTCTCAGCTGAAAATAAAGGGATTTGGACAGAGATCCTACAAACGAGCCCATTGATAAGTGGTGGTCAATATATACACCGAGATTCCTGACAACTTCTTTACTAGATGTCATATGCCCATATAAATCAAAGTTGACACTTTCCAGATCTTTATTTAATCGTGGATTTTTTATAAGAATGATGTCTGTCTTTTCTTCGTTTAGTTTCAATTTGTTTACTGTCATCCACTTTTTGATTTCATAAAAACATTGTTTAGTGATGGAAATCATGTTTGGTAGATCTTGAATGGTGCCATTAACATACATTTGGGAATCATCGGCATAAAAATGATAATTCAATCCATGATTTTGTAAAATGCTTGCTAAGGGCTGTGTATATAGTGTAAAGAGCACTGGTCCAAGAACGGACCCCTGTGGAACTCCATAATCGAGCCTGACCTGCTTTGAAAAGCTATTTTTAATTTGCACTGACTGAACTCTTTCTAGTAAATATGACTTAAACCATGAAAGCACAGTACCCGATAAGCCAAATGAGCGCTCAAGTCTTGTGAGTAGAATAGCATGGTCAATTGTGTCAAAAGCTGCGGACAGATCCAAAAGAGTTAAAAGACAGATGTTTTTGCTATCAATGGAATCCAATAAATCAGACGTTACTTTTAAAAGCGCAGTTTCGGTACTATGATGAGTTTTATAGGCAGATTGGTAAATTTCCTCAAGACCATTTTTTCTCATGTGAGACAAAACTTGACTTAAAACAATCTTCTCTAGAATTTTTGAGACAAATTGCAAATTCGAAACTGGTCGATAGTTTTTAAATTCATTTTTATCAAGCCCGGGTTTTTTCAATAAAGGTTTTACAATAGCTTGTTTGAAAGTATTAGGTACTGTGCCAGTGGCAAGTGACATATTCACTATCTGAGTAATGTGAGGTAGGACAATATCAATACAGGTTTTGAATACATGAGAAGGCATTGGGTCAAGGTCGCATGTTTTTATGGTTGACCCATTAATACAATTTAAAATATCACTACTTGTAACTGGACTAAAAGAATCTAATATTTGTCCAGTAAATTCTGAAAATTCCAAATTTCCATTTGGCTCTAGGTCGAGAGAAGAGCGTATGGTATTAATTTTGTCATTGAAAAAAGTCACAAATAAACTACAAAGTTCGTCATCTGATGTTGCAGAGGGGAGAGGAGATATTGTTTCTTTTCCCAGAATAGCATTGGTAGTCTGAAATATGTAGGACCCTATACGTACTTATACTATCTTTGTCAGATTTGTCGGGATGAATCCTCTTTTTATGGTCTTTGCAACTGGGAAAGAAAGTTCTCTGACCGTCTAGGTAGGACCCCTTGTCTTATAAGGCTATTATCAGTGAGGCTTAGGCCCACAGAGATAGATAGCGAAGTGTGTAGGCCGAGAAAAAAAATATGTTTCATGCAAGGAGTTTAGATTAGAACTACTTTTAATAATCTCCTTGGTTTCCTGGAAAAAGGCAAATTCCTAGGACGGCTCTAATTCTAACAACACAGCATGTTCTCAGATGGAGACCACAGTATAATAATAAATGATGTATGTATTTTGTACTATAATTTTTAATTTGTACACAGTCAAAGTAGGGCCACGTGTCATGCGTACAACCTGTGCCTCAAACTGCAGTTTCTGAAAAAAGAAGGTAGATGAGAAAAAAACAACTTAGAAAAAGTGAAAAAAACCTGAAATTTGCCTCAAGCATGGCAATTTCAACAATGCGCTGTCAATAATGATCACTATTATTTGAGCAACTTCTCTAAACCGAAAACACAGCTTAAACCGAAGAAAATCCGGTGGTCTCGCAGATCAATCGATTCAAGCTGACTCCACTGTATTGCAAATGTGGAAGGAAAATGGGTAGGCTTCATATTGTAATATCGTGACTGAAGAAAGTGGGACAAAAACAGGTACATGTAGTGAAACTAAGAAGAGATATGGGACGAAAATGGGTGCATCGTTCGGAAAGAATTATTTGTTTTACTTTTTTTCATCTTGTCCTGTCCAAGACATCCACCTGTCAAGGACAAACCCTTTTATCCTTGCAAATAAAATATGTGTAGGCCTATACTGCCATCATTTTAAAAAGTACAGTGTCTGCATGCAGTTTTTACAATTTTACAGGAGACTGGAGAGCCAAAAAACTGAATGATGTTGTTTCCAAGAAAACAACATTTGTGAGGTGTGCTGACAAAATGAGTTACTTCTCGCAATCCACAAATGGAGATATTGGCCAAAAATGGACATTAGGGTAAAATTTGTGAGCTTTTTATTGATGCCATATTCTGTAACTTGTCTTTTGTCTTTTTAAAATTTCATAGTTAGTTATAAATTGTAAAAACTTCACCTATTGTAAACATGATGTATCTATTTCATTAAGGCTTGAATCCGAGAAGTAACTCATTTTGTCAGCACGCTTCACATTTGCTTGATAAAGATAATAAAGAAGTTACTATCAAAATCGTATTTTAAAACATATTGACGTGGGATGTTTGCAAAGGGTTGGTTTCTTGGTGACAACATTCTTTTTTTTTGCCTTGCATGTAAGTTTAGTTTAGTATGGGATTTTACGGCGCTCGCAACTGCATAAGGTAATATGAGCGCGCGAAACAAGTTGGTTTTTTCTCAACGGTTCATTTCTTGGCTTGATACTGGTCAATATTTCTATTTTAAAATTTTTAAACGCTAAAAATCTAGTGTAAATAGGCTTTAGATTTAAATTTAAATTAACTTTCTAAATAACACTTTAAAATTTCGAACAATCTATTTCATAACTTTCCATAAAGGCACATATATTATTGGCCTTTATAAAATCTAAAATTCTGTTGGGAACAACGACGGAAAAAATACATTGTAATTTTGTGCATTTAAAGTATTTCCTTTGGGTCTCTCCAAAGTCTAGACATTCGGTTAAAATGTGTGGTAAAATCTGTGTCGCATCCGACACAAAACGGCTTCTCATCTCCCTGAAGAAGGTATTTGTGTGTTAGGGCTGTGTGTCTGATGCGCAATCAAGTAAAAATGACTTCATCTCTTCTGGAGACGCCCGAAGGATTTCGCGGTCCCAGTTTTATTTGGGTTTAATATTGCGGAGTTTGTAGTTTGTTACCCGTCTGTTTTTTCCAGGGGCTCTCCCACAGACTGGAGGTGCCTTGCATGTAAAATTGTAAAACTGCATACTGTGTTTTTAAAAATAACGACAGTATACAATGTAAATGTATAATATTTACATGCATAATGAACAATGTAATCTCTGTTGAGTCATACAAAATATAAAAAATTGTTCATACCTTTATACTTTCTATATATAGAGGTTCCCCAACAATCAACCTTCGCTGATGGAGAGAGCTACTCTGGGCACGGCGTCACTTTTCGCCCAATTCTGTTACCATTAGTTAGAGTGACTCAGCAGCCCGCCGGAACTCCCCAGCTCGGGGTCACGGGGTTAATGAGCCCTGACTGAAGCGGCTTTGCCGCTGTCGGTCAAGAACTTCGCATTTTTGTCTACATTTGAAACGATATAACTTCTTCCCCATTCCACACTTCAAACCATTAAGCACATGTTCTAAAAGCTCAAAGTCTTGATTTTTATTCTACGTTAGAATGGTTAATATCTGTGCCTTAGTTTTTGTTCTGGCAAGTGTTTGTAGAGTACCCAATTTGTCCTATTTTAGTTACATACTTATAATGAATAAATTATTGTTTATTTTAAAAAGGCACGACAGATCTCTCCAAAATCTGTGTTAAACTGACTACGAATATCATGTCTTTTACGCTGAGAAATCTTAAATCTGCGCGAGTAGTAATAGTCAAGTTATAAGAAAAGAAAGTAGAAAGATGCACATCTGCATTTTTTAACTAATGACACTCAGCGTCAGCTCTTGTTCTACCATTAAACAAGAGAACGTTACTCTGCGTTTGTACATGAATCAAGCTGTGTCTGTGGCAGCCTGCATACAACTAAGAAAGATATATATTATGAGATTTTTTTTAAACACAAAAGTGTGTTAATACATGGGTAGAGATAATACATTGTTGAAGATGCATTCTAGCACTAAAATCGGTTTGCCCTTTTCCAAAGAGAGACAACAGGGTAATTTTGATAAACTTTAGAGAAAATATGTGAATATTCCCGATCATATTAGAAACATAAAGTTGTATTTGGAAGAATTACTTCATAGCCAATCGTGTGCCAAATGGATAAAGTAGCAAAATGACAGCTTCCTATTATTATACACGCAGATACCATCTTTTCTGAGTATCTGCACCAATGTTATGATAGTTATGTTGTCCATGTTCCAAAAGTTCGACAGTTTTTGTTGTGCTTTTTATTTTATATTGATTTTTTTTTCATTCACACTTACTTGTACAAAAATTTTACAATTTAGTCATTGCCGAATTCAGCGCCTCAAACGAAATAACCAGACAAGTTACAATGTCCGTTGTTTTTTGGGTCTCAAGAGCAGAAATGCTTGCTTTGGGTGCATTAAATGATAATTACCATAAATACAAGGATACACCTAAAACTGTACGTTGAAAAGTACCAAAAAAGAAGTCAACTCAGACAGAGCGGCGACAGGGAGCTGACCCCCGTGACCCCGACGTGATAAGGCGCTCGGTGGGGAACCCCCTGCTACTAAAATTCCACTGCCGGTGCGCCGTGTGGGATACACCATGATAATGATACATGTACCCAGACCGAGTGTACCTATGACTGTCCCTGTGGTTTTATGCACCCCGCATAATTTAGTTTAGCAAAATTTGATCATTTTTCGCACAATTTTCGATTATTTTCCTTTCATCATCCTTTGCTAAAAGTTAAAATTTACAGAATCGCATAATTTCATATTTTTGGGCCCAGTTTGCATAATTTCAGAATTTTTCTTGCATAAAATGACGAGGACAGCTATGAGACAACAGCTAGGTTGACTTCTTATTTCTCACGCTTATCATCCTTCATCGGGTGAGGTTACGGGTAACTGAGACAACTGTGATGCCCCCATATTTGTTGAGGCGATCATCCAGAATCCAGAATCTCCAAGCCCCTGGAGACTTGCTTACTTATTACCTCATTTCATTAAGTTGAATGGATCGTTTTAGTAAAATACATCCATCAACCGAGTTCATACAAACAAATAGGTCATTGGGTTTTGTTTTTATTAAACTAATTTCTGTTGATTGTTACAAGGTGCATCATTTTCTAAAGATGGGAGAATGTGGTGACATTTCTCTTGTTTCACCTCTGATCATTTATTGTCTCGTCTGTCATGGCGTTCGTGAGTGTAGCTCAGTGAGTCGTGTAGCTATGCCCAATGTCCGTTCACCTGTGTATCATCCTTATTAGTCCATGTCTACCACTTGAACGAGTACTAAATTTTTTGGTTTGTTTAGTAAATCCAAGCTTTCAAGTATGGATCGTTCATCTTCACACACTTCACACAATTTTTCTCACTTTACTTATGTAGTATGTGAGAATGCGTACTTGGATAGCATTAACACTGTGAAAAATCTTGTCTACATGTGGGTTGTATGTAAATTTGAGCTTGCAAATAAAGCTTCCCACGAAGCTGAGACTATTTTGAGAAGTTAAACATTCTGCTGGGTAGTTAATGCAATGAGATACACGTATTAAGTTCATAACTCTTCTTCTTAACAAGGATAACCAGGCCTACAGTGTACAAATATAATATAATCTGCTATTATCATTATTACTATCAAATGAGTAATGAGCAAGCAGACGTGTGGTCTGAAAGTGACAGCAACATAAATAGCAGTTTTACCAGATACGTTTCCAATCCTTCCAAAAAAGTAAAATTCACAGTGTAGCATAATTATTTCAAATGACATACAGTGGGAACCATATATAACAGGCCCGGTAATAACAGGGATCCGGTAATAACAGGGATTTTTTAAATCCCCGTTTTTTCCTACTCTTTGTCCCTATTAAAAGTTATCGGCAATAACAGGGTCTCATCGGAGCCCAACCGGTTACAGCAGGGACAAAGGCTCGTTAACAATGTGGAGAGAGAGAGAGAGAGAGAGAGAGAGAGAGAGAGAGAGAGAGAGAGAGAGAAACGTAGTGGTGGAGCAAGCCCACGCAAGCCATGCCACTGTAAACAAAAAACGAGAGAGGGCTGCGGTGTGCTACAGATCTTGATCTAGCCCGAAACCTAGCCACACGCACGCGTAATGTGTCACTAACGATGTCAAGCACAAGAGAAAATTCCATTCAATACTTTCAATTGACAAAAAATACGAAATAATCCAGGCTGTCGACAAAAAGCAAGCTCCACTGGCAGAGATTTGTCGCCAGTTTGACTTTCAACAAGGGTCGCTTCACACCATTATCAAAGATAGAGAGAAAATAGTGGCAGCATATTCCAATGGAAAGTTTGCTCTGGATCGACGAAAGAAGATGAGACTACCCGATGCAGATGCTGTGGACCAAGCTCTTCTGATGTGGTTTAAGGAGGCAAGGAGAAAGTTGGTGCCAAAACCTCTGTTCGTGGGTACTTGTGGCAAGGGAAACTACCCATGAATAAGTACAGTTGGATTAGTCCACAAATGCTTACTTTCCTAGCATTTCTGATTTAACAGGGATCGGATATAACAGGACATTTTCTCTACTCCCACCATCTCTGTTATATCAGGTTTCTACTGTTTATATATATATTATTATATATTCCTTGAAAAATAAATATTAGGAACAAAAGTAAGAGCCACTTTACACAATACAATTTTATTGTCAACAAAAAATCACAATTTCACATCTGGTTGCACTGAACTTGCTGAGGATGGAACACTGGCACTGGACAAACTGGATACATTATTGGACTCTAAAAATTCTGTTGATGATAAACTGGGAGTGTCCGCATTCATCCTTGACGAACTTGGAGGTTTCAAATGCCCTGGGAGTGGGTGCAATTCATGCTGAAGAAGAAAGATGATTTACACGCGATTCATTGTTATCTGAAAACATTTTTTAAATGTTAAGACAAGAACTCACACAATAACTCTACATGGGGGCCACATGACATAAAATATCTGTGTGTACATGACCATCATACAGGCCTACAGACTTTGGAGACACTTGTTTTATTTATTGTTTACCCCCCAAAAAAATTATCAGCACACATGATCAGAAAAAAAAGAGAAAAAAAGCCATTCCCAATACTGTGGAACTCGGATTCAACGAGGTCGCCGGGCCTGACCTACAATCTCGGTGAATCCGAGTGTTCGTTATAGCAAACACGAGGTTTTGTGTAGATAATTACAGGCACTGAGCACATAATATATAAAGAGAAGTCACAAGTAGTGCCTCAAAGGCCGCTGATTGGCCTGCATATTATGAGCTGTGTAAAAAAAAAAAGACCGATTCGTTCAAATGCACACGCCAGTGCCATCTCGATTGTCTACCAAAAAGTTGAGTTGCTGTGTAGAGCCTAGCATACGGTAACTTTTGATTCCATAGACCAGCGTACAATTCATTACGTAGATCTACATCAAGACTAGCTTATCATTGCAATAATGATCAGTTGCTGAGGGGGATAAAAGACTGACGCTTTAGTATCTGTGAAACGCCCGCACCGCTTGTG